TTTCAAATCTTAGAAAATTTATATAAAATATTAAGTAATATCTTAGGATGTTGGCACATTGGTAAGAAATTTGTATAATGGACTCTCACATCACAAGTTCAAGTCTTGACAAAATATGATACCGTTTTCGAACGGGTGTCGTAGGGATGATTGGTGGCGACTCCAAACCCGAATCTCGAAAGAGACCCGTCAGGGAATGACGTCGGCCGCTCCGCGTCGTGATGACGTTACGACAATACTTGAATTAGGAAAACAGAAACGTAATATTTTTTTCTTCATTAAAAATAAAAATAGAAATGCAATATTTGTTTCTTCGTTAAAAATAAAGAAACAAGAACTGCCCTTAATTCTTGAGTTCTACAAAGAAAATTGATATTCACAGAAGAATCACAAAACTCTAAAAATAAAAGTTTGGAAACAATTTTCATCATTATCGTTATCGGGTAAAACCAACCCTGTGGGTCGGATAAAAAAGAATGAACGCAATGACGAGCGCACCAAGCCCAATTCCAAATGCTCGATTTTGGGGCCGAGCGCACATGGACATTCCGCGGATAGGGTGTTGACACTGTACCCAAACCGCAATACACCTCAGAAGATTACCCAGTGTACCACTGCACCCCGCTCTTTTTGCAGCATAGAAGGTAAAAGAGGATGTTGGTGGTTCCACGGGCCCCAGGTGCAACACACTGTCCAAGAGCGTGGAGACGAAGGCGTTCGTGGCACCCAACTTGACATTGACGTACCCTTGCCTAGAAATTGTCATCAACAATAATGAATTTAGTAAAAAATTCACAATATTAATAAATAGCTAGGAATTCTTAAGAAAATGTATAAAAGAGTAAATGTTTTAAATTCTATTATAGTCTCTGAAATTTGAAATTTGTTCTAATTTCAAATCTTTAAAAGGTCTATTTTAGCCTATTACTTAAATAATAATTCTACTTTGGTTCGTACTTTCAAAATTTTTTGTTTTAATATATCTATTTTAGTCCTTATTCTTCGTCTTCATAAAATAATACTAAAAATTCAAGAACCCATTAGAAAAATTAATTAAAAAAAATCTAAGATGAAATCTAAAACCAAAATTTGATACATACTATTATTCTAATTCAAACACATGGCATAATTTTCAAGAAAATTTCATGTTCTAAAACTAATTACCAAGTCATTTCCTCCCCAATCATGGATTCCAATTTTCAATAAAAATAGAAATAAAAGCAAGCCGGACATTCTATACTTAGAAACCCCCACAACCTTAAAATACTCGAACCGATCTAACTTTGTTCAAATTTTCTAAATTTAGTTTTCCATTAAACATGCATAAATAGGGCCCCTAATAATCCAAAACAAAATAGAACCCCTCGCCTTCGCCAATAAGCACCATCATCTACAAAACCAAAAAAAAAAACAAAAAACAAAAAAAAAAAATAACCATGGCAATGGCGAGAAGCTTCAAGCTCTTTCAAATCCTTCTCTTAGTGTTTGCATGGCAATGCTGCGAGAAGGCATGCGCCACCTTTGAGGACATGACCGGCGCTGCAAATCCTGAAGCCAGTAAGGAGTTCTCGTTCCGATCGTTTGCGTCTCATGGCATCGGAATTCCGAGCGCGTATGACAGCAGCAACAGCAACAACATTGCCCCGAGTATAAGTATAGACTCGTTGAGCCCTGCTTCTGCTCCTGCAGGGGCATCATGGGTCGCCTCTCCCAATTCTGGAACTTCCGGCAAAGATGCCAGTTACGATGTTGGAACTTCAATGTCCCGCAACAGAGACGGTACCTTCAATGACGGTCCCCGTGGCCAGCTCGATTATGGTTTTAAAACTAAGTGAGTGTCTGTATTTGACATTTTCTAAAGTCAGAAGTTCGAATCCTCGAAAAAAAAACCAAATATATATATATATTTTTGTAAAACAATGTGTTTGATATGTCAAACATAAAAAAGGTCAAAATTTGATAGGTATAAAAGAATGGTTCTCATACCAACCTATATATAGTTGCGGGATATTATTTGTAACCCATTTAAGGAATTACAAAGTATTTATTATTTTTGATACTTCTATCCAAGTCTTCATACAATTAATATCTTGAAATTTTTGTGGATGCTCGCTTTTTTATGTTCGTGAACGCTCTTTTATTATCTTTTCGTTTTAAAATGAAGATGGAAATATGATCACACAGTGAATTGTTAAAAATAAGGTCACGTGTGATAGTGAGGTAAAAAAAAAGTTTTCAATCATGCCTTCGTTGATTGAATTCTTCCCTTCAAATATTTAAAATTGATTTCGACTTCATCTTAATAAGAAAGCTAGCATAAGAGTTATTTCGAAATAATTTTGAAGTTGAAATTATTGAAATAAAACTTGTAGGAGCATACTAATTTAAACTGTCACGTGTAATTTTAAGAAAATCTTGATAACAAAAGAACTTAATTTTAAGACTTTGATTAGAGTTTTGAGAACGTCTTTATATATTATAAATAAAGAAATTATGTCATCTCTAGCATAGTTTAATAGACAGTTACATATTGTAGGTATGTTCATGAAACTGAAAAATCGAAGAATTGAATTAAATCATGTTGAATCGACTAGCATAGTTCGATTATTTTAAATATGAAAAAGCATATTATGGTGTCGGCTAAATTACTATGATTCAACTGTAATGACTAAAATATACTTATCATTAAAATTTACGCAATTTGTTATAGTTTTTAAAAGGTAATTAGTTAAAATTT